GCCCCCCCAATCCCGGCCCCTCTCCTCCTTTCGCCCCCACCATCCACCAGTGACAGTCTGAGCGCCGTGGCAACTTTCCTCCCGAGTGTCACCAAAGGCTCAATGTGTCGCAACAGGGAGAGTGGAAGCCTCACAGAAAGGCGCGGAAGTGAATGCGCTTAAGTTCCTCGGCAACGGGCGGCGAGTTGCACGTCAATGAGGGAAAAGGGCTTCCGGGTCTAAAAGTTCACCTGCAAAGCTTTCAAGTGCATTTGAGGCGCAGCGTGCTTTCTTGAATGGGCGCGGCGGTCTAACAGTGCGGCATGGCTGCCGTTTTGATCTTTGCGGTTTTCCCGCTGCCGCTTGGCTAACCGATCCGAACCGAATTGCTTGCCGGCAACTTGACTTGGGTGCGGAACGGTCGGCAACGTTGAACAGGCCGCCTCCTTCCGCGTTGCGTTGCGTTGCGTTGCGGCCGTTTCCGCCGGAGCTGTCGGCCATCTTTGGGGTTACCGTTTACGCCGGTGCCGCTTGCTTCCGTCTCTTGTTTGCTCTCACCGTGCCGTTGTTTGTCCCCCTGGTTTCCGTCGCCCACTCGCTTGGCCCGCTCGGTCATGGAAGCATGTTGCCATCGCTCTCTACTCACATGGCGCATCGCACGCAGACCCTCTCGTTCCGTTTTACACGCCGTTTGGCCCCGAAGCCGCCCGTCTCAAAAGATTTTCCATTTCGTTGCCTCTTCCCGTTTCTCGCTTGGAATCTGCTGGTGAGCGGCTTCCAAAAGAGACCGCAAGGTGGGCGGGGGGAGAAGAGAAGCAGCCGTCAAACAGGCCAAAGTCCACAGGTCACGGCTTATGGTGCCATCAGCATTTTGCAACAGAGAGACTAGAAGAATCACAGAAAGACATAGAAACGCCCTTGCAAATGATTCCATCCTGAAAATTTTGCGAGTAGTGTCAAGTCCAGGCGGCTTTGGCGCCTCACCCGCCCATCACTCACTTTCATTTTTCTTTTTTTTCTTATTCATGTTTTTATTTTATTTTTTGGTTGGGTGGGTCCATTTTGTCCTCGTCTCTTCAATGTGCAACGACGACACCGTGGCGAAACCGTACCCCCAAACTAGCTGTATAAACTTGGAAAACGCGCGCACCCCGCCGCCGCAGCCCATCAAGAAGAGCGAGCCTAAGCTGGAGGCCCCCACGAGTACCAGCCGTCCGGGCCAAGTGCAGGTAGGAGCTCAGGGGACCCCAGCGCGCCGCGGCCGTATGATAAGACCGGGGCGGGGTCGGATACGCTCGGCGCGGGGGTTGGCGGCGGCGGCGGCGATGGCGGCGAAATGACCTCAAGTCTTGTGTTTGTGGCAGGGCCCGGTGATATACGTCCAGTTGGACCACTCGGGCAGCAAAAACTCCTTCCACAAGATGGAGCCGGTGGTCTACGCCGACATTCGCAAAAACTGAAACGGACTGAGTTGGGGGGGGGGGGCACGCGCAACAACAGAGTCCAAAACACACACAGACACTCAAGCATCAGACCTCTTGCATCCGCCGCCGCTGCTCCCAGGAACGCTCCCCTCTTTGTACAGCAAGTTTTTTTTGGGGGGGGTGGGGGGGGCTCCGCCATCACGTCCACCTTCGATCGTCATTGTTGGGTTGTTTTGAAATAGTCTCGCAGCCACCAATTGCCGCCGCACCCTTTGGACACACCCGACACAAATTTCCAAAGGATCTTGACATTCCTTCTTCGGCCAACGAGATTTTCTTTTAGGAGCCCGGACGACATCGGATTGACTGTTTTTTTTTTGTTTTTGGAACAGCTTTGAGATTGTTTTTGTCATTTCACATTTCCATGCCAGGAATTACAGGTCCATCATCGGCGATGGCAACTCTATTGGTGACAATTATTTCACGAAGTAGGAAAATCCAAAAGGTGTTTTGAAACTGCTGACATCATTGCGGGAGCAACCAAAATCAAAATTTTTGTGCTCGCTATCCACTAACGGGTGGGCTGGCTGACGATTGTCGGTGTAGTCCTTCCTTCCACGCCTCAAAAACATTTTGAAAAAAAACATTTGGAAAATTCATATCTCTACAAGTTTACATTTTCATTTGCATGTTGAAAAAAACCTATAAAAATGTTCTCCTGGGGTACTTGCATGCGATCGACTTAAGTGACGATCCTGTTAAAAAAAAAAAAAGGGCCAAACATCTTTGCCGTAACCATGGTTATCATCCGTGATCCAGCTTTAAAGTACATTTTTATTTTTGAGGCCAAATTGAGTTGTTGTGAATGACGTCATTCACCCGTGCAGTCTCGCGTACCCGCGTTACTGCCGTTGACTCAAAAGTGCATTCCGGTCTCGTGGCCACGCCCCGCTAATTTACGCTCAAGAGCCGTGCCTGCAGGAGTGACCAAGTGTCATGACAAATAGAAGCCACCAGAGGTCAGTAGTTGCCAAGTCAATGAACATGCTCGCTCACAAAATTGACTGTCATATTACAATTCTTTAAAATAACATAAAAATCTCAAACTACTATTCTCGTAAAAACCTGAGTTGTTTTCGTTACGAATTTTAAGTGTTTAACAAAATATATCAACAATTAGCAAAAACAGTTGGCGGAGTCATTGTGGGTGACAAATTGCATTCCACCTTTTTCCTTTAAAATTCTTTTGCAGTTTCTCCACATTGACTTAACTCAGAGTTAAGTCGTTCGTGGGGGGGGGGGAGAAGGGTGATACGTGTGTGTGTTTTTTCCTTTTAATGGAAAATTGTGATTTGTGTCCTTAGCTTGTTAGCATGCTAGCATGTTGTGCTTCACTGTTGCAGGCACCGCTCGCTTATTATTTTAACGAGTTCGCTAAGCGTCTTCACCCCCCAAAAACAACAAAGTGTATGATAATTGCCCGTTTTTTTCCCCTCCGGTTGTGGTTTTGTGCTGCTGGGGTGTGTGCGTGCGTGTGTGTGTTTGTACGCGTTGCCGTCGTCCACGTGGTGTTGTAAAGTATAAATTATAAAAAGACGGACGGCCCTAGCTACGCTTTTCGGCTCTCTGTGTGCTAAATAGTTCTATTCGATAGTGTTTTTGTTTGTTCTGAAATGTAAAAACAAACCGTGCACTACGTCTTAAATACGCAAGACAAAAACCTGCCCTGTGATTTTTATTTTTATATTTCTCATCTCTGAATGACTCGTTTGAAAAGAATGCCCAAACCAACTGGAATGTTGTATATTTAGTGCCTTTTACATTTCATCGGCTAACTTGAACGTCTGCTTCAGATTAGAAAAGTTAAGATTCATTTATTTTTGTTCTTTTATTGTATTTTTTAATATGCATAATAGCCTGTTCTGTATCCTCTTGTTCAAATTTTATATATAAAAAAAAAAAAATTCTGGCCAAATGTGTTTTCTTCATCTTAATTCAGAAGCTCCTTCAAGCATTTTGCCCTCGTTGAAATCCAAACAACATTTTGACTGTTGGCGCCTTTCAAAGTCGCCACCGAAAAATGTCCAGCCCCCCCTCCAAAAAAAACTTATTTAGACTTGGAAAAATATTGACTTTGTATATTTTGGACCCCCCCCGGAGTCTTGTAACATTTTGTCCTAAACTAAAAGATGTGCGCATTTTTTTTTATTGAACAGGAGCCGATGCACATTGCACATGGACACAAAAATAAATATCACATAATTAAAAATGAACTAAAAGATGATTAATATCGTGCGAATACATTAGCATCTTTTGCGTGTTACGACATGAATACAAGATAGAAACCCATTTTCAGCATAAGTTAATTTTACAAGTAAGACTTCACAGCAATCTGGTTTAAAGATTTCCACGATTAAAAAAAAAACAAACAAAAAAATACATCATACTTGGTCTAAATGGGGTGGAAGAGGGGTTGGGGGGGGGCTACAAATTCTCATGTGCAGTCTTGTGAATGTTTGCTTTTTTGTCATAATGCACTGAAAGCCAGAGAAGCGTTTCGCAAGAAGTCCCGTCCACGAGAACGCAGTGGAAAATTTGGTCGGCTCACTTTCGTGTTCAGCGGCTTGACAGCAGTGCGAGACAAAAATGGGCGCCGTTAAGGATCCAAAAAGGATGCCCGGAAAACGACAAAGTTGTCTTCAGTGCACACCATCTGAAAAGCGTTCGACACCGCAAAGTGTTAGTGATGAGTGGGGAAAGGAAGCAGGCGGCGACGAGTGGGCGCCGACCACACCGTTGTCAGAGTCGGCCGACGTCCCGAGTAGCTCCTTGTACTTGAGCTCCACTTCCTGGAAGGAGAGAGCGCAACATTTGACAACCGACATCAAATTCAGGTCGTGTCGCTTTAGGCCACAAAGACAAACTAGCACTGTGTCGCGTTACTGTGAAGCCCAGATGTAGTTGGAGGTTTGGGGAATGTTCCTCCAAGTAGGGCGGCGTGAAAGTGACGAGCCAGCGGAAACAAATCAAACGTCACGGCGCATCCCAAACAAGTTTCTGTACCTTGAGGTACTGCAGGTCAGCCTGCAGGAGGCGCAGGTGCGTCATCAGCCGACGGCTGAGGTTTGGTCGGCCGCCGTTCTCCGACGACAGAAGTTTGCTCATGTCCACGGCGTCCGCCGACGCGTCGTCGCCCTCGCAACCGCCGCCCGCATCGACTGCGCCTGCGGTACGAGCCACGGAAACACTTTCCTTGAATGCTACGACGGGAACAAAATGTCACATTGGTGGTGGTGTTGAACGTGACCGCAAAGACGAATTGAATTGAAATTTGGGAGTCTTTTTGACCACGAATGAGTCCCAGAAAACATGGTGGACGCATTTGCTGGCTCTCCACGAGAGGCGCACCGTTTCGTTCCGTCTGGGCGTCGTCGTCTTTCGGGAAGCTGTGGGGGGCGGCGGCTGAGGGGGCGGGCGGACGCGGGGGCGTCGTCGTCATCTTCTCCTCGGGGCCGCCCGTCATGTGCTTGAAGAGGAGCTGCTTCAGCAGCACCACTGCAAGCACAAAGGCGCGCGTTGGGGGACAAGTGTTCTTCACTCACGGTCATTTGCTGAATTCCACATTTGTCTGTTTCGAGCATTTCTGCGCAATTTCTACACCGCTTGGATCCTCCGCTTGAGGGCTCTCGAATGAGACTTGCGTTCTTCGACGTTAGCGGCGAGTGCGGGTTGTACGTGCGGTCAACTTACGCGTCCCCAGAGCTTCTTCGGCTTTGGAGGACGAGGACGGAGAGCCCAGAGAGGAGGACGAAGCTCGCGCCTCCTCCTCGTCCTCGTCCTCCAGCTGAGCGTCCAGGAAGGCCTCCAGCTCTTCCTCGTCCACCTCGCCCTCGTCTTCCTCTCGCTCGTCTCCCGGCCCGCCGTCCGCCGACGGCGCTCCCTCCTCGGCCTCCTCCTCGTCCTCCGACTTGATGACGTCGAAGGGGTTTGTCGCGGCGCCGTCCGGCATGTCAGATGACTCTGAGAAGACCAGTTGCCGTCTGATGAGAACGCGCGGCAACCGCGACGCTCGTCCGTCGTGTGTTTCGGCATTGGCGGGGGGCCACAGAGGTCGGCTACCTGACGTGGCGCCGCCGCCTTTGCCGGGCTTGTCCATCTCACGGCTGATGATCTCCATGGCTTCCTGCTCACCTCTGAGAACGGGAACGGCAAACAACTTCCATTAGAAAATGACAAATCTTGGACAATACAAAGCAAGAATAGTTCGGGTAGGCGTCGTCCGCCGACTTACTGAGTGGGCGTGGTGGGCGCGTGGCCGCCGTGCGAATTTGCCTTCATGGATTCGGCGCACTGCGTGATGAGGCACTGCCACCTGCGGGGGCAAAAGCGGCGTGAGGCCGGCCGGCCGGCCGTGACGCGCCGACGCCCCGCCGGCGGCCCGACTTACGTCCTCTGCTCCGCCACGGTCTGAGCCGTCAGCTCGTAGATCTGCGCCCCGTTGTCCGACATGGACAGCACGAAGAAGGACTTTTTGTCTGAGGACGCAGACAAAGCGAGCGCGTGAGCGAGCGCATCGTCTTGAAATACGTCAAGCGACGGAGCGGGCGATTACTGGTGGCGACGGGTCTGACGAGTACGGTGCCGAGTTTGACGACGGGGCTGAAGCTGAGCTTGGCGTCGACGGCGCCGGCCGCGTTCTTGCTGTGGAACTTGAGCAGCAGGCGCTCGTCCTGCTTCTGAAGGAGCACCAGGATGTCCTCCAGGAGGAGCGTGTACAGATCTAAGCGCGCGCACACAAACGCACCAAAGGCGCCCAATTGGATTCAACTCCATTTTTCGCTCCAAATTTCGGAAAACTAAAAAAAAAATGCAGTGGATGCACAAAAGCACAAAGTATTTATTCGCTGTGCTCGACTTGTTCTCTCTTTTTGTGCTCAGGCCCGAGAAAGAAAGAAGAGCTCGGTTGGGGTGAGGGGGAGGAGCTTCATTTCGATTGGCCAGAATCGAGTCTTGCAGAACTGTCCTGCTTTGCTGCCATCTTGTGGCCACTGAAGGAAATTGTTTCAAGTTGAGCAAGGCCTCTGCTGTGTAGCGAGCTTTTGAGGAAGGAGTTTTTGTTTTGTTTGTTTTTTAACTCATTCAGTACTCGCCAATTCTGGACCGAGTCTGAAAAGACGTTTAAAAACGTCTTTGGGAGTGAATGGGTCCAGGATCGCCATGTTTGTCATCAAAGCGTGATTGCGAGGTGCACCCACTGCATCGCGAATCTTGCGGGCGGGCGGGCAGCCATACCAATTCTTTTGTCTTTGTTGACTTTCCAGGAGAGCGGTCCCTCGTGGAGCATCTTCCTCTTGGTCAGGTCCAGATTCTGGAGGGTGACGGAAGGCCCCTTTGACACAAGTGCAAACTCGGCGGGCCCCGTTCCCCGCGCCCCCCCTTTTGGCGTTTCCTACCCGCAGCTCGGCCACGAGCGGGTTCTCGTTGGGCTTCAGCGACGAGATGTCCAACCTTCTCTGATAGTCCTCCAGCCTCTTTGGTGGTGGGAAGAAAAATTCCCGCTTAGGCCCGGCCGGCTTCCCGTTTGGCTCGCGGCAGATCGAGGCTTTCGTTTCTACCTGCTTGTTCTCAGCCTCTTTGACCGCCTGGTTGACGCGGTTGAGGATGTGCCGGCAGCATTCGCCGGCTTTCTTCACCTTCTCCGCCTCCTCCTCATCCTCTGCGGACAAAACAAAACGTCAGCGCCGCGTCGCTCAAAGTAAGATGCAAGTTGCCCCCCCCCCCCCCCCCCCCCCCCCCCCATTTCTTTTTTACCAAATGGCGCCATCGAATCCTCCAAAGTTGAAACGAGCCTCATGCGCCTACCCGTGTACTTGGCAATCTTGTCCAAGAGAAGCGGGTACTTGGTGGCTCGCTGCATTTCCACGGGAATGATGTCCTTCAGCTGCAGCCGCCGGCACAGCCGGTTGCTCTCGGCCGCCTGAAAACAAAGCCACAAACGCGCGTTCAGAGCCAGGCGGCGCAGAGCGGCGCGGAGTGCGGAGCGGAGCGCGGCGGCGGCGGCGGCCACCTGCATGAACAAGGTGAACCTCGGGTCCTTCTTCTTCCTGCTCTTGATGAGCTCCAGCGCGGACGGTTGGTTGCTGCAGAACGTGGCCACCGCGCGTCTTATCTTCTCCTCTTCCTCACCGCCGAACTGCAATTCACCACGAGAAGCCCGAAGACGCACGATACGCTGTCACACTATCGTCGTTTGTCAGCAGCATCCAATGTTTGGTATCAAACGGACCGTCGAGATGCAGCGCCAAAGATGCGGACGGCAAAGGATTTCCTCTTCCCTTTTCCCAATTTAGGAACGATAAATGAATCAAATCTCAGTATCAAGATCCGCTCCCCTCGAGCGCTCGTACCCAAGCCAAGAGATCGTCGCCGATGTGACCGATGACGGACGTCTCGCTCCTCTTCCTGATGGCCGCCATTTGCTCGCTGAAGGAAACTGGAGGGAAAGCCGCAAGTTACGCCACAAGTGACCCCCGAACGACCAACGACATTGAAAAGGAGCAGCAGCCGTGATCCGGTTCGTCAACCGAGACCCGCGGCGTCGCCGCCATTTGCTCGCTGAAGGACACTGGAGGGAAAGCCGCAAGTTACGCCACAAGTGGCCCCGAACGACCAACGACATTGAAAAGGAGCAGCGGCCGTGATCCGGTTCGTCAACCGAGACCCGCGGCGTTCGTTTCAAAGTGTTCTTAAAAGACTTTACGACTTCTTCGTGTCCACCCGAGGAGGCCAAAATGCAAATGAGCATCGGCGCTTTCGGAGGTGTGGGAGGAGCGCGCCAGTCACCGTGCAGCTGAATGATGTCGTCCAGGTTGGTGAAGATGCTCTTGACATCGTCCGGCGGCAAGATGGCGTCCCTGCTCAGCCGCTGGCAGAACACGCCGTCCAACACCTTCAGCATGCGCAAGTGGGCCCGCTCCGTGTAGAACAGCTCTGCGCAGGTAGGACCAACATTCCCGTTGCCATTTTGTCAAGACGCCCGGGTACGCCATCCGACATCGCGAAAACGCAACGCTTCGGTCGTCTGTCGCGCTCCGGCGGCAAACGATCGGAACGTGTCACGACAAGACGCGGAGGTATCGGCCTTTGACAAAGTACGGTCTCGCGAAACGGCGACACGGCCGCGCGTCGTCTCATCGCGGCTCACGATCCGGCGACAAACGCCAATGGCCCGTTTCATTTCCGGGGCCGGCTCACCGTTGATGACTTCTTGCCTCTTGATTTCCTGCGGCGCCAGCGCGGCCACAACCTCGCGGCTCACCAGGCTCTGCCAGTTGAGCGGATCGTCCTCGCCCGCGGCCTCGCACGCTTGCTCGTCCTCGCTCGCCACGTCCGCCGCGCACGTCACCTCCATCCTGCGAATGTACGGCATCGCCATCACGACCGCGTTCGGTCGCGAGTTGAATGCGGCGCCGTTGAGCTTCGGTTAAGTATCTGCTAGCATGAAGCCGGCGAAATTTTATGAGACGAAATGATGAACAATTTTAAGAGTTGCCTGAAAGTTGTGTTGACAGTTTTCAAGTTTCGAGTGACTGTAAGATCAGATGTTAGCATTCGGCTAGTGTGCGTTCGTTAGCTGAAATCAGGTCTGCAATGACTGAAGGCAACCTTGAATGTACCGAAAGCTAATCATCAATTTTGTGATCAAGCTTACGACTGCTGTCAGATCGGCGCTAACGTCGCCCGGCTGCTGCCGTTCACGTGATAGGATGAGGCGAGCCTACTTTGAGGACAGCCAGACACAATCGTCTTGTCGTTTGTTAGCATGAAGCTAAACTGACCGAAAAGAAAAACCTGCCGTTTGTTGCGAAGTGAGCCCAGTTCGCCGCCACCACGCAAGCGCTCGGATCTTTCGTATTTTGGATCAAAAAGACCTGTGACGTTTTGCAAAACTCGTGCGCGACGTCACCGGCGTCTACCTGAAGGCATCGTGGTCTGCCTCTTCATGTAAGTGCTCCAGGTTGGAAGGACTGAAGTCAAATTGCGTACTGGTGGGGCCGCAAACGCCATCTTGGTGCTCGCCACATATCGAAACCTCGCCGACTCGGGGCTGGATGCAGAACGGAGAGACGTCTGCAGGGGGGGGGGAACGGGAAAAGTGATGAAGGTATCGCCATTGCGATCGGCAAGCATCCCGAAGGCGTCCCCGGCGGGCGTTCCCTACTGCTGTCCGAGTCGTGGCCGCTGGCGTCCGATATCGCGGCGGTGGGCGAGCCGTGCACGGACGAGGCGCTCGAAACGTCCGAACCGTCGCCGAGGTGATTCCCGCGGGTCCTTCCGGAATTTGAAGGCGACGAGTCGGGCGGCTCGGGGGCGGCAAAAGCCGCTTGGGGGAGGAGCTTCGGGGAACGCTGCTTGTTCACCTCCGCCGCCTTGCCCGCTGCACAACCGTGCAAAATATTCCCATCGGCATTGCCATGATTGAGGGAAGGGGCGGGGCGATTCCTCACCTGAGGTGGAGTCCACTCGGCTCAAACGGCGCGGTGGTACCAGGATGTTGGGAAAACGAGGCTTTTTCGCCTTCTCCTCACCTTCCTTGTCGGGCTTGATGGTCTTCTGCTCGGGGGGGGGATGGCAATTGGTTTTGGTTGAGAGACGCACGTCATCACAGTTGAAGCGTGCACCTTAATCTTGGGTAGGAAGTTGATTCGCGCTCGTTTCTGTTCCAGGCCTCGAGGCTCCTTGACTTTGACGCCGAGGTGCTTCATGTACGTGAGGATGACGTACTGCATAGTTTGGCTGCCGCAGAAGCACAAAAGGCGCGCTCCTTTAGCCACGGACGTACCGTACACTTCGATGCAAGTGTGGGGAGGCGATGTGGGGCGGGGGGGGTGGGGGGGTTGTTGTACCATTTTTCCTCCTCGGAGGGTTGAGATGTTAACCTGCAACAGGAAACTTGCCGTGAGCATCGTAAAAAGGACCCGATATTTCTTCATAATCAACATATATAAAATCAGGATGGATCGTATGTATCCATTTTTTTTGGACAAAAGTAGTGCGACTCTTTGAATAATCAATGAAAGAGCAATACACTCCCGATTTTGCGCCCATGTCAAAATATCAAAACATTCTCACAGGACGTCCTCGATCTTGGCGAGAATATGTTCGGCGCACGAGCATTGCCTCTCCCAGGCCAGCGGGTCTTCGCAAAACCAGGTTTTTGTGCAGGTCCGGCATCAGCGAGTCCTGCAAGGTTTGCGTGCACTGCTTGCACACCTCCTCCGGGATTAACTCCAGCCTGCGCTTGTCTGTGCACACCGCAGAACACTTCTTCAACGTCATACGCACTGGACACCTCATTAGGTACACCTGCGCAACAGCGGCGGCTGCTCACATCGCATCACACTGACGTTGACGATCAAAACATTTTGAGACATTGACGTCTATTTCATCTCGGCGGGATGACTAGCGTATAGTTGATGAGTCAAGTTGCTCGGCACGTGTGTTTTCTGATTAGTGATGCATGTCCAGTTTGGCGCCCGTGATTTTTTTATGTTGTGCATGACTCCATTTAAAAAAAAAAAAAAATTCTTACCAAGTTCAGCTGCGACAGCATCTGGCACCGGGACTTTCAGATTCTGCAATGCAACCACACGCAAAATTTTAACAAACTGAAAGAGCAGCATAATTGCAATAAATTGTTTGCGAAAAAAGGTGAAATTCAAAACGTCATTTCAATAGAAAAAATCAAAAGAACCATTTTAAAGAAAATAAAACTAAAACTGCAACAAGGGGACAGAAAATAAGATCAAATGCGGTCCAAATGGAGGGAAAGGAAATGCTCCTCCCACCGCTGTTCGATCCACAAAGAGCGAGTGAAATTCCATGAAGAAGCGCCGGCTTTCTTTGGAATTGGTTTGCTTGTGGATGTCGGCGTACAAGAAACACAGCTGAGAAGAAAGACAGAGAAAAATTTAACCAGGGTCAGCCCCATGCTGCGCTTGTGTCTGCGCCCGCAAACCAAGCACAACACGGCGCACGTCAACGCGCGCACGGCTCACGGGACACCTCATTAGGTACACCTGCGCAACAGCGGCGGCTGCTCACATCGCATCACACTGACGTTGACGATCAAAACATTTTGAGACATTGACGTCTATTTCATCTCGGCGGGATGACTAGCGTATAGTTGATGAGTCAAGTTGCTCGGCACGTGTGTTTTCTGATTAGTGATGCATGTCCAGTTTGGCGCCCGTGATTTTTTTATGTTGTGCATGACTCCATTTAAAAAAAAAAAAAAATTCTTACCAAGTTCAGCTGCGACAGCATCTGGCACCGGGACTTTCAGATTCTGCAACGCAACCACACGCAAAATTTTAACAAACTGAAAGAGCAGCATAATTGCAATAAATTGTTTGCGAAAAAAGGTGAAATTCAAAACGTCATTTCAATAGAAAAAATCAAAAGAACCATTTTAAAGAAAATAAAACTAAAACTGCAACAAGGGGACAGAAAATAAGATCAAATGCGGTCCAAATGGAGGGAAAGGAAATGCTCCTCCCACCGCTGTTCGATCCACAAAGAGCGAGTGAAATTCCATGAAGAAGCGCCGGCTTTCTTTGGAATTGGTTTGCTTGTGGATGTCGGCGTACAAGAAACACAGCTGAGAACAAAGACAGAGAAAAATTTAAGACGGGGTCCAGCGCCGCGCCGCGCGCGCGCGCGACATCGCACGTGTCAAATCTCGGCATCGGTACCAGGGGGGCGGGGTCAAACTGCGAAACGACGTGATGCAGGAAGACGGCGAGGTGGGCGGGCCGACACTTGAGCGACTCGATGCTCTGGAAGCAGCCGCACTGCCCGTTCATCTGAAACAAAGACGCAAAAGCATACACTTGGATTGCGCGAAACCGAGAAAAACAGGATTCGTGTCATTTTTTCGCGTCAGGTACCTGCTCCTGATGCGAATCAAAGTAGTCGTCTTCCGCGCCGATGATCTGCGGGTGGGGGAGGTAGGGCGGGCTGCCCGCCATGTACTGGCTGCCGCTGTCCTGAGCCGTCATGACCGTCAAAATGTACAAGCGCATCAAAACACCAGCGGTTGGATCGATTCATTTTTCAAAGAGAGAAAAGTCATTTGCAAAACTTCATTTCACTCATTAGCTCGTGCCCCGCGCTAGCATGACATTTTGGCAAAACGCTAATGTCGCTAGTCGCCGTTATTGCGTATTTCAGTGAAAAATGATACAATGGAGCATTTAAATGAAGGAAGCATATTTATGGGTTAAATATTAGACATTGAACGTGTCCAACGGCGTACAAACTTGCTCAGCCTTGTTCATGAAAAGCAACTTTGAAAATGGCGTTCGCTAGTGCTAATCTTCAGAAAGTGTTTCAGTCCAATTTTCCTGTCAGATACTGAGACTTTGAAAATGCCTTTTTTTGGGGGGGGGGTGAGTCTGCCCTGGAATTAGGTCATGCTAATATTTTCATACTAATAATTTTATGTGAGTAGTTTAGTCGTGAGCACGATTGTTTATATACGGGCGTGCTGGGGCGCGGTCTCCGCCGTCTCTCACACAGCTAATCCAAACACAGACGGGACACAGTACAACAATTAAGTGAAATTGATTGTTTAGTCTGGTGGGGGCGGGGGGATTCCAGCGGACTTTTCAAAGGATAAGCGTTTGGTGGCTATTTAAAGACTTGCGGCTGCAATGAGAACATTGTTACCAAAGAGCGGCGGGTACAGTCACTTCCTGTTTGCATCTGACGTGTAGCTTGGGGGTCCACTTTATTTGTAAGCTTTGATTGCGTACAAGTGAGCAGATGTGTCATTCGTAGTGGGGGGATTCGAGTCGTGCGATGAGTTGTCTTCTTAGTGATAACAAAGAGCGTACTAGTAAGTGGAACTAGAGTCAAATTTATGTAAAAAAAACAAAAAACGTTTTTTTTCTTTTTTGCACATACAAAGAAATCGATGCTTATGAACCTACCGAAGCGCTGTTGCTATCTACTCTGTCGCTAATGTCGTCGCCCGGCGATGGCACACTTGTGTCACCCTCTTCCGTTTCGGTGTTCCCGGAGTCTATGGATCCATCCTGGACAATTAGACAATCAATCAATCAAAACATTCCCCGAATTTGAGGAAATGGCGGTGATTGGCCACCAGGGGGCGCTACAACAAGCCATCGCAACTCAAGTTGCAGGAATGTTGGGCGTTTTTTTACGGGGTTGTCACGGTAAGACCGTAGCCCACGAGTCGTGTCATATTCTCCGTCTGTATGCACAGATGCTCGTTTCCTGAGCCCGTCTGCACGGTTTAGCATTACGTGTTAGCGTTACGCTATAACTCGTCAAGCGGGGCCAACTTGAAAGTCAAGGTTACCCCTTTGTGATGACCGAGCGACTCCCCTGACCGACTCGTCGTCTGCTTACCCCATCGGGCAGGGAGGAGTGCGGCGGGGGCGCCTCGGGGCTACAGGTTGCGCTGCCGTGTCGCTCCCCGCTCGGTGAATTTTGCACCGACTGGTCGCTGCCGCTCTCTTCTTCCTCATCCAGCGTGTCTTCGTCGTCTTCCTCCAGCTGGATCTGCGGAAGACCCGGAGGTCTGCCCAGCACTGTAAGTGCTACGTAGGACCCGGCTGAGTGCGCCAAATGTACAAAAGTTTAGCGCTCGCAAATGCTAGCTAGTGCGGCAAACAACACGCGCTGACTTACATTTGATCAGCTTTACAACCTCCGTGTGATTTGAATGTGTCACTAAGGTCCCATTAACCTAAAAAAAAAAAAAAAAAAAAAACAACAACATGTAGGGAGAGGACTGATGCACGGAAAAAAATTGCAGTTTTTGTTGAAACTAAAACTACAGATTGTAGTTAAAAGTTTTTGTTTATTTTTTTCGGTTGATCTTAATTTGCTCCAGTTTTCAAGGTGCTGCCATCCCCTCTGGGCCGACCGCATACGGCATTCCGACAACAAAACCTCAAGAGCAACCGTGGTCACAAGTTAAGCCTTCAAATGACAAAGAAAATAATGAATCCAACAATCAATCACCTTAATGATTCTATCGCCAGTTTGGACCCCCGCGCGCATTGCGGCTCCATCTATAAAACGGTAAACACAGGACAGTCATGTTTGTGTGCAAGCGCGTGGCTCACTTTCTGTGTGTGCATGTGTGTGTGTGTGTGTGTGTGTGTGTGTGTGTGTGTGTGTGTGTGATCCTCACCTTCCTTGACCAGCTGCACAAACACAGGGTTGTCTCCGCTCACTGTCAGCCCAAAGCCATTTTCATCCCTCTGGATGATCACGCAGCGCTGGACGAGGCCTGTCATGAGCATGCGTGCACAAACACCAGACGCACTCATTGCACGGTACCCTTCCTCATCCGAATCGTGATCATGAGGCCCGCTGGGAGTGGAGCACGTGTGGCTTCGCATTTGGTTTGATCATCGTGCTCAAACTTCACGTTTTTTTCCGCAGTGCTGGGAAAGCCTGTCCACACGGGATGTGTGACGGATCAAGGGTCCATAACCCTTTTCTTTCTAATCTACAAATCTATTTAATAAAGTTCATCTCCCAAAAACGATATCGTAGAACCTAAAATGCACCTAATGTGTCACAATTTTGAAATAGTGGGGTGGGGGTTACAAAAGAATGTGGCGCTGCACATGGTTCCGTATGAAGCCCCCTTGCGTTCCGCGTGGTACTTTAATGAGCAAAATGGACAGTCTGGAGGCTGAGTTCATCTGTTTTCAATCAGTCACGTGATGTTCATCAACTCGTCCTCCAATCTCAACACTGCTCACGAAAAAAAGGATAAGTGTGGGTTTTTTTTTCCCCTCGCCAATGTCACTAATGCTCTGTGATTCACACTTATGCCCCAAAGTGCCGTTTTCCGACTGCAATCAAGCGAGGTGAGTGGCTAATGGTTTGGCCTTGAGACTGCGGGGCGAGCCAGTTGAACCAACTTTTCTTTTTTTTTTTTGACTGCAGCCAGAAAAAAAAGTTGAACTTGGCTTGCCTCACTGGTTGTGCTACCAGGTGAAGAAGCACTTCACTTTTAACCGTAAGGAATGATAGCAGGCGGGTCTCTCACCGGTGGGGTCAAACTCGTGCTTGAGTGAAACGGAGCATTTGTCGTTCTTTGGCTTCCTCTCTGGAGGCTCCTTGTTGAGAATGCTTGGGGTCCTGAGAAGACACCAGCAACAGGAAATTAAAAAAAAAAAAAAAAATTGAATTTAGAGGTGTGATCAGCATGAAAACCACTGGCACTTTAGAGTGCCTCGTCGGTCGTGAGTGTGTGCACGTCATGAGAGAAGATGTAAGAGCAAGGTAAAACAATTTTTTTTTTTTTTTTTATGTCAAATTTCACATCCAGCATGTGGACAGGAGGCTTGGCCTCGCTGTGGCCGCTTTGAACTGCCTCATTGTCGGCCTTGACTGCGCGCACATCACGGTGAGACAAAAGCAAAGTTCCGGCGGAGGGGCCCGGGGTGTCATTTTTGAAAAAGGTACGTTGTGACAGCCAGCATGTTGACAGGGATTTCCGATTGTCGAAGGCCCGAAGGACTTCATGGTTGAAGTTTGTGTACGAAGAGTAAAAGTTGGCCGCTGCAACTTCTGAAGCGGGAGGAGGCTTTGTTTGGAGTGACTGTGGTGACAATGGGGGCCCTGGGCTTTTCAACAATGGCCACCACGTCACAGGGGAGGGGGCAAAAACGAGGGACAGGAGGAAGTTGTTTTGGCTCCCCTCGAGACTCCTGAATGTGGTACGAAGCTGGCAAAGATGGCGACGAGGTGCTCGAGTGTCTCCGAGAGACGAGACAGCGGCGCTCGTTGGGCTTAGCTTGGCCGCTCCAGTTAGCGCATGCGCTTCTTCAGGCGGCAAACGATTTGAGACTCGATGGTTTTTCACAGGATCTTTTTAGACATCCGATAATCGTTGCTTTGCATGGAGAGAAAATGTTCAAAACTGGCCTCATTTTCACTGTGTGCTTGTAACCCGCTTATTGGTTATGCTCGGGCACTTTGCACTTGACATCCATCGGGACATTTCCAAGAATATTGCTTCACATCCCCTCTGAGCTACACATCAGATTAGAACAAGAATGCTGGACTGAGCACTTATGTTTATTTTCTTCTCTTTTTTTTTTGGGGGGGGGTTGTCTATTTTTAGAATGGCTGCCGTGTTCTCCAAATCTTGTCAATTACGTGGCGCAGTCGCAATGATAAGAGGC